TGTGTATTGAGTAGGATCAGTAGTATTGTTACCTGAAGAATTTGATTCTGAACTGTTGTAGGTTGCCATTACTAATTTTATGATGAGTAGATTCTGGTGAAACAAAGGCAAAATTCTTCTCCAAATATGTGTCCCACTGTCTTAACACAGAGAATATAGGAGGTTCCCTCTTGGGAATAGATTCTCAGAAGGGAAAGAGCATATGACAGAAGTAGAAGAGTGTATAATGGTATTTTCCTTTAGACACTTTCCTAACAGCGTGTGCCATCATGATCTTATGCCTAATGTTAAGCAAAGGAGTGGCTTTGCTGAATCCATGTTATTTACATGTTAATAATGTAAGAACAAAATTCTTCTCATAATTTTTGCCTTCAGGGCTTGTGTTGGATATTGTTCAGCTACCCCCACAAATATTGACTGCACTTGCTATTGATTTTAACTATGCTGAGTTGTTCAGTGGAATATTTAACAAAAGTAATCCTTAATTTCCAAATACAATATTTTCCTAGAAAGTCCATCACTTCCCATTAATCTTTAAGCTATAATATTTCGTCTCTGTGTGGTTTGGTTTTTTTGTTGTCCATTTGCTTTCTTTGAAACTTCCTGACTCTCCTCTGTTAAATCAGAAACTATGAAACTGCTAATGGTTTAATTCAATATTTGGTACAGTATTCAAATGAAGGAAAAGGACAATCATTTTTTCATAATGATAGGTATTAATCTCAAGTTTACAGTGCTGGGAGTTGGGACAGTTTTTGAAAAGTGTGGAGAATTTAACATGCATTTAATGAGATTCTCTCTACCTTCCTCTTACGGACAGAGAAAAAGCCTCTGTACAGAGAAAAGCCAGTGAGATTTTCCCATAATTCAGGCAACTAGTAAGCATTGTTATTTAGTTTCTAAGAAAGGGCTCAGTTTTGGGAAGACAACTCACCTGAATAGGGGAGTTACTGGGAGGGAACAGAAGAGTTAGACTCCTTACGTTTTATTCGTTACACCTACACGTCAACAGAAGACATAAGGTCAACATACGAGTGCCCTTCTTTTCTTCAGAGAAGACATATCAGGTTTTTACAGTGTTTAAATACTTTGTTTTATCCCACCTTGATAATAATGTCCATCCTGTGAGTTCAGTTTGTGGCACCAAGAAGACAGAGAAAAGAGTAGTGGTTTTTTGTTTGTTTGTTTTTTATTTAAGTGAGTATAAATTTAGGACATATGGTACTGGCTTTTTTCCCCTCTTCTGTCTGAGTCCCTTTGAGTTCTCAACCACAATATTTTTAGTAGGTGTATGGTTAATAAAGGTAAAAAAAAAAAGAAAAAGAAACAGCAACATTAAAAAAGAACAGAGTTGACATCATTCATTTATGTATTTTTTGAAAAAACAAATTCTTGGTTTGATCTTTAGATGTCTAAGTTATTATGTTAATGGAACACCACTGCAATTACTGCTACGTAGTTTACAATGCTGTCAGATATACCTGACATTTTTCACTCAGAGGATCCCCATGGACATTTCAAATGCTAAAATAAGCAAGAGCTGTAGAAGACAATAATTGTACTACACCAATTTATACAACAATTAGAGAAAACAGACAAGCTCATGGACAATTCCTTCATGACATTATTCCATCTAAGATATAGCATTCCCTCCAGTAAAATAATATTGACTTCAGCACTTATTTAGTATCTTATTCATAAAGTTATGAATGTCATGAACTAAAATGAAATTTTCTTAACTAACATATTTATGAAGCTTTACAAGATACTCTTACTAACTATGTGAAAGATGTGAAATCTGCATTTACAGATCTGTCCTCTTGATGTTCTAGTGGTACTGTCTTATTATGTGTCTTTTGTGGGGGTATAGATGACTGTAGAACATTGCAATGAGACTTACAGTCAGAGAAGATAACTAGTGATAGCCAAAGTGTCGTTCCCCCCACCCTGTTGTAGGGTAGATCATAACATTGAGTGATATTTTCCTTGGGAAGGATCAAGGAAATTCATGAACCTGTCAATATCAGAACTCAAGAAGAGTGATCTTTTTCTTGACCGAACTCAAGAAGAGTGATCTTTTTCTTGACCGATTTGTAATTACAATGTAATTACTAACTGATTTGGGCAGTTTATCACTAACTCTTTAGAAAATGTTTCTGTAACCTTCCTGATATCTTAATAGCTGCTTTATGCTTCATTCAAGATGCTATCAAGTCTGTTCTGTAATGATGTACACTCTGAGATAATATCTGTAAGTTACTATTCCTCATAGATACCTGTTAGTATGCAAGACTCGATGGTCTCACCTTCCCAATATCCTCAACTGGTGCCACTGTGCAGGGCAAGGTCCTTGTACCATAAGAATTCATTCTACTCCAGTGGGCTCTTTCAATGCAGTTTGCATTTTTTATCATTTTTCATTCCCAAAATTCTCTGACTTCCTGTTGATTTTGTTTTGGACTGGCTAATATAATGCAAAATCAGCAAGGGCAACAATCTGCTGTTTGAAGTGTACTCCCTCAGATTCAGTAATAGATTCATAGAATAGATAGATTCAGGAAGAGCATGGCTCTTCCTGGAAATGCAGTTAACTGGATGAATTTTGGAGGCAAGCAGCTTCTTTAGAATTGAAGCTTGTGATTGTATTAATGAATACAGTGAAGTGAAGAAGGCTGGGATAATCTGGTAGTATTATACTGATTTCAGTTACTGCCATCCTGAACTATGTATTTTTCTGAAGCAGCTCAGCCTTTCCATTTTGCTAGACTACTCTACAGACCACTTCTGTAAATGATTTCTCAAGGCTGTAATTATTTCCTTTAATATAAACATTCATTACATTTATTATTTTTATTATTTGGCATCACTTCTATACTGCCTTCATAGTAGGAAGTCTCCTTCTTTGGCATTCTAGATTGGTTTTAAGTTAATGGAACTCTCTTTGAAATCATGGAAGCCTGCTTCATCTCTGATCTGTTTGTTGGGTGGTATCTTTACTAAATTAGTAAGAGGTTTAAATAAGATGCCTCAAATCAAGTCCAAAGGTACTTTAGACATATTTATAAATTTGTAATAGAAAAAAAAAAAAGAGTATGTGGAATTCATATTATAAAGGATTCATACTTAATAAACAAATAAGCACATAGTCTTGACACTGAAGACAGTATTTTGTTCTTTATTGTGCCTGTCCTCTGGTATCTTCATGATAGAGAACACTTACAGAGTTAATGTAGCTGATTAGATGCCAGAAATTGTTTCAGGCATGATATCATTGTACTTTAGTCTGCGTGCCTTTTCTATTTCATATTGTTTGGCATCCCTTTCAAACAGAAAATGAAAATATGCTGTGTCTCATAACCATTTATGCAAAACACAGTTTTCTTAGCTCTCCTGGGAGAAGTGTCATGAGTTTATCCAAGCTCATTTATTTTATCTTTGCAATTCTGTACTATGTATATGGAAAAAAAATCAAAATTACAGTTTGAAATGCTGCAGTACACTTGAAGGTTTGTTTTTTGAAGAGGGGGAACGATTACTCTAGAAAAACAATTTCTTTGTGTTTTCTATGCACTTTTCTTTTATCAGTTATCAATAGCTGATAAATTTATTGTGAAATAACACTGCTAATCAAGTGATGAAGCCTTTTCACTATCTGAATGTCACATTAGAAGATAGTAAGTGCTGATGAGTTCAGGTAAATATGTAGAATTGAAACAGTAGTTTAAAGTTTATGTTGTCTTACATTTTTCATAAGGCTATGAAAGTGAAAACCAATGCTGTGGTGTTCCCATTACCTCTCTATAAGGTTTTGTGTAGACAAGAAATCCATACAGAATATGGAGAAGATTTAGGTTTTATGCTCAGCTCCATTGTTATTTCAGTTTTTCTTCTCTCTGAATGAAATCCTGGCATGGTTGAAATCAGTGTGACTCATAAGACCTGACTGGAAGAAAGCAAAGATTTCACTCCTCTGTATTAACTATTCAAGCTATACATTTCACTATCCATTTTCATCCATCACTCCGGCATGCTGTAAAATTTTAAGAACTGTCTGAATTTTCTCACAGATTGTTCCCTGGCTGAACAAAAGCAGAATCTGCAGGATTCACAGCCTTCCTGTTGGTGGTGAAATTGTTCTTTTGAGAGGGCAGCTCCATTAAATAATAGTAATAAAAAAGAGGAAGTTAATTCCGGGTTTTGAACTCACTTTGTTCTGACTCTGACATCAGCCACATGATGTCAGCCTAACCTTTTCAAAATTATATCAAATCATAATTAATTTTACCATGTCAGAAAATCATTACAAATAGAAATGTAGGCTTTGCTTACATTTCAGCTATAACAAAAAGTGCAGTTAAGGAACAGTTAGGCAACAAAATAAAGGCTAACCCAATGATGTTAGAAACAAATTCACCAATTCACATTAAGGTTTTATTATAAGCCTTTGACATACAGGAAGTGTTCTCAGGTACCAAATTTACTAGCAAGTGTATTAAAGCTGGTCTTTCTACAAATTAAATGTCTCTGCATTTGGAGTTTAGAAATGTCTTGTAAAATAAGTAATGCTTGTAAACCTTGAATTTGTTAACATATCTTGTTTTGGTATACTTGTCCCTTCCATATGAATCCATGCATTTCAATACCCAAAAGTTCATTAGCTGGTCATAACTATGCATATTCAGACTTTACATCCGTATCTGTTCTGGCATTCATGTTCATGACCTATGTTTTAAAGAATACTTATGCCTGGGGGGAGTTGACTTTGCAAAAGGAAAATGCCTGGATATTTAATTACCTGCAAAATGCCTGGATATTTAATTACCTGCTTACTTGTCAGTTGTAGCTGAATCACTTAAACCATCCGTTTTGTTAGGAAGGTGCAAAGCGTAAAATGGATCTGTTACCAACTAAAATGAGATGGCATGAGTTGATTTCAAATTGTTGTTTTTGGTTTTATTATTTTCTCAACCACTTAAATTCCTCTCTCTTTTTTATTCCAGAATCGAATGGAAGAAAGCAAAGCGCTCTTTCGGACAATTATCACATATCCATGGTTCCAAAACTCTTCAGTTATTCTGTTCTTAAACAAAAAAGATCTCTTAGAGGAGAAAATTATGTACTCCCATCTAGTTGATTATTTTCCAGAGTATGATGGTAAGTATAATGACATCAGAGCTCATGCTGTGTTTATACTGACAAAATGTAAAATCTTGTCCAAACTGTAGACAGATAGATCCATTGAGATATTTTCCTCCTTATCAAAACAAACAAACAAATAAAAAAAAAAAACAACAACAAACGAGTGCTATCAAGTTTTTAATCATGGAATTTTTAAAAATGTAATTGAAGTCTTGTGGGATTGTTTAGATTGCTAGGATTTAATTTTGTATTGCTATTAATTGTGGGTAGGATGGCAGTACATTTCATGGGAAATGGTTAATGTTAAGGTGAGTATTATCAACATCAGCAATGGACAAAATTCTTCTTGTTTTCATACGTTGGAGTGAGCATTGGAACTGAAGTATAAAAGCTGAAGCTGAAGTATAAAAATAAGTGAAAATGCATTTCTCATTTTTATATATTGTCTAGCATACTCTCTTTTTGAAGTTTGGTTTTGCTTAAAGCAGTGTTACAAGCTCTCAGGTGGCACTAGTTACCAGAAACTAGAAACTATTATCACTCTTCATAACCCTTTACTGTACCTTTAAAAAAACCACACTTTTTTTTATACTAATTTTACATCACTTATGTAAAAGTGTTCTAATGTGTTCTAATTGTTCTAACAGTTCTAATTTGCTTTCTCAGAAAAAATACATAGATCATAAATAAATCATAATACAGCAGAGAAATAAAACTTTCAGAGAGTTCTCTTGAGATAGACAGCTAAGTTAACTGAGTGGAGGCCTTCAAAACAAAGAAAATCAAATTCACATGATAAGAGGACTGAAAACTAAATGCTCCTCTTTGGTAAAAATAAATAAATAAAAAATATCTTTTTTCCCATCAGGGAGTGAACAGCAGTTTTGAAAGCTGAAGAAAAGATTATCTCTCATGTTAAAAGTTGGAGAGTAATAATAGGAAAAATTTACAGCTTTGTTTTCCTGTTTCAGGGAAAGTTATCTGTTCACAGTGAACAGCCTAGCCTGCAGGATCAGATTGCATTGTTCACAAGTGAGTTTAGTTTCATAGTGCAGAAGAGAACTAGCAGTTAAATAGAAAATATTCTAGTTGTTGCAATTTTATTTCATAGTTATAAGTTCCCTAGATGACATCCTGGAACATAAGAAGACTCTACAGGCCATTCTGTTATCACCACTTAAAAAGAGATAACATCTGTGTTAGATATGTGTCCAGAAAACACAGACAAAACTCAACCACTCAGTTCAGAGGAACCCTATTTCTCCTGCCTTTTTCTGTGGGTGATGGAAAAAAAACGTTTATGAAGAGCTGTTCATAAAGGTGGAACTGTTGGAGTGCAGACCTGGAAGTCTTGAAGTGTCTTTATCTCTTAATTCTGCAGATCTTGCTGGACAAGGTTATGGTTTGATCTGATTTCTTCTGGTGGCAAGGTAGAGTTACAGTCAAAGGCTTGCACAGGTCACAGCGTGGTGTCCTCCACTGTCCCAGTACACTGAATGTGAGAGGTGGGCAAGTTTGAGGAAGGGATTAGAATTAGATATTTTTCAGTTGGATCACTTCTCCCTTCTGTTTTCTTGTTTTCAGCAGAGTGGTGAAAGTAGCGTAGAGATGAGAAATGAAAGCCAGGACGGTGAATTGAACTGTTTTAAATTAAGTGGTTCTGTTGCATGGTACGGGAAGCATTGAAGCGAGGACTGAGACATGCTCAAGTGTCAGTATATCACACAAAGTCATCCTTTCACAGCTAGTACTAGTAGGCTTGACTTACAGACAGGAATGAAGAGGTGAAACAGACAAAAAGGGACGTATTTGGGAGCAAAGAATGAGAAACATTAATGCAGTACTTCTTGCATAGTGTTGTACACTCATAGTCTTGAGTATATCATGCAGAGAGACTGTAGCAGACAAGAAAACTACTGATTTATATGGCAATTACTTCCAAAGTCTCCATGTTATTGAGATCATAACCACTTAGCAGTATAAATCTAACATCCTGTTTCTTTCTAAGGTCCTGAGGCAGTAATTTTTTTTTTTTAATCCTCAATTTTCCGTGCTTGAACTGTAGTAAAGTGAAAATTTTAAATTACATTATATCATCAGCACAGGTGTCATCAGGTTAGCAAATGGATAAAGGCTTTGAATAGTTCAGAAGATTTTGAGAGACAGACAGTGTCTAGCTCCTGTAAAACTGCATTAACAAAATTACAGGAAGTTGATTAGAACTATAAATGGTCTATTTTGAAGAAATTGTTATCTTCGAAATTCTAGGAGTTTCTTAATAAATTTGCTATATTTGTAGTGTGAATAGTTGCTGCTGTTTCTTTTGAGTCTGGGTGACCAAACTAGAATCCAATTGTGTAGAAACTGTAAAAATGTTGAGAAGTCCTCCGCCCTGTCTTAGAGAGCTTACAAATCTGTATACATGCCTAGGTCCTAGAAAATGTGTAGTCTGTATATGTTTATGAATGAATACATATGTTCGTGTGCATATATCCATGTATTCAGCTGGATATAAGGATTTGCAGCTGGTAGATGCTGGAAAGCATGTGAATTCTCTTCCATGCTTTTGCTACCTAATTTTTATAAAGTTACTCACATCAGAAACATTTGCAGTAGTAAGCTTGAAGTATTAAAAATAAATGTTATTATCCAGTTATTGAAAAATACATATGTACTTGTTAACTCCCTAAAGTAAAGATTTCATAACTATTGAAGGACAGAGTTATATGTAACAGCAGAACGCAGGTATTTATATTGCCATGTAACGAGACCAGGACTAATGGGAAGAATAAGAGGAGGAGACAGCACAGAAAACATGCACGTTCATAGAAAACCTGCATTCCAGAAACAGGGGAGCGAGGAAGTAATGCCCTATGAAAATTGTATTGGAATAGTGGAATAGAATTGCAGCACAGGAGAACAACAGCTGTCATTCTTGCTCCTGCTCTGCTTTTTGGGCTGTGAATGTGAACGAATCTTCACTGTGCTACTCTGGAAGTTGCTATTTTACCTTCTGTCCTGTGTAAAACTAAACATGGGGTTTGGTTGCGTAGAGTCTGCATCCTTCTCAGAATTACAATTTAGGATTTAATTTAGGATTGTTCTTATAATTTAGATAGCAGTTGACTTGTTAGAACATGAACTTTTTGCTGTTGAACAGCTTCAGCTGGAGAGCACATGTATTTTATTATCTCTAATGTAAATGAGGTTCTGTTGATGACAATGTCATGCCAGTTTAGGATACAACTTCAGTATGTTATCTGTTAAAATTGTCATACAACAAATAAATTTTGCAGTGCTGAAAGAACTTAAGTATAATTTAAAATAGTAGGTGTATACTGAAACTTGCTAATGCTGTTAGGATTTGTAAGGATTTATTTTAGGGATTTCATCTTTCTTTTACTCATTCTGTGTGGTTATAAACCACCCATTTCATCTTTCCATTTTAACAGTCATCTCAAGAAAGAAAGATGATCCACAGGAAAAATAAAACTCGGATGTGATAGCTCTGATGCAATGAATTTTCGCTCTTTATTTTTAACAGTTCCTTCACAGGGGAAAGTAGGCAGCATATGATAGTATTTATTTGTAAAAGGTTTCCATTCTCCTCTTACGTGAAGATCATAGACTGAGCCTTGCTTCCATATTATGCTCCAAATAGATCACTGTTAAAGAAGTTCAAATATTGAATTGACTGTAAGAAAACTAATTTTCTCTTCCTTATTAAAAGGACCACAGCGGGATGCACAAGCAGCACGAGAGTTCATCCTGAAGATGTTCGTAGACCTGAATCCAGACAGTGACAAAATTATCTACTCCCACTTCACATGCGCTACAGACACAGAGAATATCCGCTTCGTCTTTGCTGCTGTCAAGGACACGATCCTTCAGTTAAACCTGAAGGAGTACAACCTGGTCTAACTGTGCCTACAAGGCCCTCCAAAACCAACTTTGCGTGATTGAAGATACACAAGAGGGACTGTATTATCTGTGAAAACAATTTGCATAATACTAATTTATTGTTGGCCTGGACTCTGTGAATGTCCACAGAGTTTGTAGTTAATATTATGATTTTATTTAAACTATATGGAGGAAAACCAAAAGATGCTGAAGTACATTCACAGCACATTTCCTCATTTTTTAGGCAAAACCTTGTGACTCAATGTGTTTTAAATTCTCAGTCATACACTTACAAAGGATAGCAGATTTTTGCTATTGAAGCAAAATCAAGCTGATTTCCTGTTTCCCTGACCCTCTCTCTCCCCCTCCTTTGCCTTCTCCCTTATCTTTTTAAAGGTACAATGGCCTTTTTTTCCCAGTTACGTTCCTGGGTAAAATATTTTCTGTTGAGTGATTTGGTCAGGAAAATGCTATCAGCAGAATTTAAGTCATCAGTCCATTCTAATTTTACAGTATGTACTTTCTCTGAAGGATCAAAAATATTGATACTGTGATTTTTAAATTCTTGACATGGGTGTTTTCGTTCTGTCTTCGCTTTTGGGACTACAATATTGGAATTTCAAAAATGAATTATAGTTGTGTATGGATACTAAATTTAATCATTTTCACATTTTGGAAAGGTGCACAGAAGACAGTAATGAAATAATTAAGACACAACCTAGGATATACATGGAATATGGTAGAATCTCTTTTTAATTGCCATGTGCCATTTTTTCTCTCTTTTATTCACAAATGCCAAACAAAAATGTCATAGACACTACATTTTCCCCAGTGGCTACAGCCTGAGACAGTGTTTTTGTTTCTTTTTTCTTTCTTCAGTTGTGTGTTTTTTCTTAAGTTAGAGCATTTTAATTTTTTTTCCACGGTAGAAAAATTATTTTTATTGTATAAAATTAATGTTGCCAAATCTGGCTTTTTATAAAATCAATACTCTTGAAACATAAGATACCAATTGAAATGCCAAACTGATCAGTTGGGAACTGACCTGATAGAGTCAACTGCCAAACAAACAGTTTCAGCTCCTTGTTCCCTTTTTTGGAAATTGTTCCATTTTCAAATGCCAAAAACAACAGTGTGAGTGAATACGCTACAAGGTGCACCATGCACATGCATATGGTCTACTATTGTAAAGACAGTTTAAATCTCTCTTTATGTCAGGTATGGCATAAGATTGGTTTCTGTAATAATATCAAGGCACATTCAGTTGTACAACAAGAAGTTATTGATGAGAGATCACAACAGGGAACCTTTCCTGATAAGGTTGCTTGTTAACTGATTCACAGACGTTTGATAGGCTTTCATCAAAATAGCCTCTCTTGATGTTCTTTAGAAAAAGATTTATTAATGTAAATGAAACAGTGAGAATATCATTCTTGAAATTTTAATGTGCAATTTTTTAACAACAAAAATGCAGCACACGTTGATGAGCCTTTATTCTGCAGCTTAAGTTGAAAGGTGTTTTTTGACCAGGTGCATGATTGCTAGCAAGCTACAGAAGACTCAGAGGTCAGACATGTAATTAAATTGATTATCTGCAATGCCAAGTAGCACTGGAGTGCACTTAACACAGAAATTGCTGCCTTACAGCAGCATATGGGAGGTGGAAAAAAGAATGGCTTATTAGTTGATTACCAAAGTTAACAATAAATACTAATGAGACGTTTTTCATCTTTAACCCTCCCAACTCCAAAACAAAAATAGTAAGAACAGTTGCTGTTTTTTGCTCCCTCATAAAACACCTTGTAATTTAAAACTGGTTGTAGGTATAGTGCAATTATGAATGCTATAATCATTGTACATACATCTATATATATATATGGCAGCATCCATATTGGCTTTGTAATCATTAATTTTTGGCAAATTGAATGTGCTGTATTGATATGTATCTATGTAATTGTATTGTATGTCTTATAGCTAATTCACATTTTAAATAATGTTATTTTATTTACTTTTTTAAGAGAGAAGAATGTAAATTTTGTCAGTTTATTTCTGACTAGGGATTTGTTGTTGTTTTTTATTTACAAAACAAAAAAAAATACTATAGTACAGAGTGGTACTAGCATCGTGCTGTATAAAATCATTTGCACATTCCTGAGTAGAAGTAAATTGGAGACACCCAGACAGAGGCCATTCATATTTGAAACTGCTTAAAGCTTGTCAGGGCTTTATACAGATTTAGAAACCAGTTTTATTAGAAGAACTTAAGCCGTTATATATAGGATTGGAACATAAGCTCTTAAATACAAATTTAATTTATTTTTGGCAGATTTTCATTAGATTACTTTTACCTTTCCAAGATACTTTTATTAGAAAAGTGAATTTAGAGATGATTGAAGCCATTGCACATAAATAAGAGTGGGTACATGCTGTTTCCCTGAAAAAAAAAAAAGTAAAAAAATAAAAAGGAACATCAGATCAATTATACAGTATTTCAGAAATTCCAGAAACTTTAAATATAACAACAACAACCAAAAAGTCACTATTGTTAAGAATTATAAGGTGTTAAAGCATTTTAATTAATACAGCTAAAGCAGATAGACGTAGGTTATAAAAAATGACACTGACATTTTAAATAGGTGATCAGAACAGTTAGTCTTATATACGGCATTACAAAATTCGTCCTGGTCTTGCTATAAATGCAACAGAGCTTCTTATTTTACAGTTCCACTGTTGATAATATCCCGTCTTTTAACCTGGGGATACATTGGCCATGCTGGTGTCAGCGATATAAATAAAACTGTAGCCAGAAAAAAAGAAAAAAGCCAGTGGTGTCTAACAAAGGTATGGTTTGGCGGAGCTTCTTTTTGTTTTGTTTTGATTTTTGTTAGGGGATATTGGGTGTGGGAGAAGGAAATGTGGTTCTACGTTTTGTATAAAAACAAAAGTTTACTCATGCTTTATAGTTATATTGTGATTGCAAAAGTTTTCAAGAGTGTGTGCCACTGGGCTACTTCTGGTATATTTTAGGTAAGTTGAACCTGTGGCAGTGTTTAGATCATTTGAGCATGTTCTGAAAAAAAAAAAAAAAAGAAAAAAAAAAAAAAATCAGCATGCCAAGGCAAGCTTTACATGAATCACCTAACACAGCATTGCAGTGTGACAGTTTACAGAAACATTTCCTTTTTAAATGACACAGCTGTTCCCACTTGCAATATATTCCGTTGTTGTTGTTGTGTTGTTGTCGTTGCTGTTGTTTTAATTGGTGGTTTCTACTATGCCTTATAGTGCTTGAGTCTAGAAGTTTGTGCCTCTAACATGAAGCTGAAGGCAAAAATAAGACCGAAACCCTTTTAACTTTGCCAAAATTATGTGATTTATTTGAATGTCATAAACGGGGGAGGAGGGAAGGAAAACGTCATGGGAACCTGTGTATTCTAGATGTTCGCTAGCACAAGAAAGCTGTAATACGTGTTTTACAGAAACCTTAAACTTGCCTTTTTCACAAATTAACTGGCACTGTCCTTACATATATAGGATGATGCAGCTATAAGGGCAGTTTACTTTTTATAATTCAGACTCTTTTGATTGTCAAGGTGTATGAACTGTAATTTTTAATCATACTGCCACATGATTGTGAATCACTTTTTTAAGTTTGAACGTGGAGGAGACTTTTTATGCTGGATATCAGTCAGACTTGACTGCATGATTTGCAAAAACTTTAAATAGGGGGAAAAGGGCTGCATATAAAGACGTTGCTAGACTCCCAGCCTTTGGTTGTAAGGTGCAAAAGACTTTCAGATTACTCAACCGAATAACTCTTGCCTTGCTACACATTCTTCACAAAAGAATGAAGTATTAGGAGAAAACAAAGACATGCTAACCCACATGAAAAAAAAAAAAAAATTAAATTACCCAAATAATTTATTATACGTGCTGCTGTTGTTGGAGCTCTGTGCATGGTTATCCTGCATACTATTGCTTTAGTAAATTAATGAAGTGTGCACAGCATATTAACAAGGCCTACAAATGACCTACCTCTAGTTAGGAGACCAGTAAAGTCAGTGCGTTTTGGAGAACCATCATAACACAGGAAGTTAAATGGCCTGGTGTAGGTAGTCAACTACTGTAATTTAGAAATTCACACTTCTGTAAATACAGTCCCTCTTTTGACATAAACCATACATTCTAAAATTTAGTATGCATTAAACCACTGAAGCCATCTGTCTCTGCCTAATTTGTTAGGTCAGTAGAGATCTTGCAAGACCATGTTTTGTTTTGAAGAGTTACTGATATTTCCTCTTTTTTGACTTGTATTTACCCATAACATTTTGAGTTGTATCAATCAAAACAGAAACATCTCCATGTAATCAATAATCCAGTCATTATTTAGCTAGTTAAAGGGATTTTACTGTAAGTTTCACTTGAGCTTTTTCACAGTAGCCATGCTGCAGGGGGAAAAAAGGAATAAAGGGGGATTTTGAAGACAGTGTAAAAAAATACAAGATCAAGTAAACCAGATCAATCTTACTGTAAAGCTGTGTTTTTGTTTTTGTTTTTGTTTTTCTCAAAATACAGTCTAAGCTGAAGTCTGTTGCTGGATTCCTCATTTACCATGCTGTAGGAAATCCTTATTTGACTTTCTTTTTTTTTGGCTGGGGGAGGGGGGAGGGAAGGGAGGGGAGGTGGTGTTGGTGTCAGATACATTTTTAAACTTACAGTATTTAAAAATAAAGATCATATTTGCTGTTCTTAAAGTGTCATTTAAATGCATGTATTGTCTGTTGTTTGATAGACAGAAATAGTGGTTTGAGATTTTCTTTTTAAAACAAACAAACAAACAAAACAAACACGACGACTAATATTGTACAATTACTGGCCCTCAAAAATGTTGCTGGTTAAAAGTACAGTATTTTTGGCCATAACTTTGTACTATAGTATCTTAATTCCTTGAAATCTAGCTTTTCTTAAGTACTATTTGGGCTTATTGTTCTCCCAAAATATTTCTTATTATGATAAATGTTGGATAGATGTATTACTCTGTGATTACTTTTTAAATAGTAATACATGCTCTCTCCTCATTGTCTAAACAGCCAGATGGTTCAAAACATTTAAGGTTTGACAAAATGGAGACAGTTACTTGACAGTATGACTAATGAACGTTTTTGGCTTGCATACAATGGAAACTCAGAAGCATGGGGGAAAAGAGGTAACAATCTATATCTCGTTAATAGAAACTTTCAGAGTTTGTAGGCAAATTTCTTAAGCATTTGGTTGATCGCAGTTCTACTGTAAGAGCAGACTTCTTTTTCTTTTTTTTTTTTTTTCTGATATTTTTCTTTGCCTAAATCATGATAGGAATAATGGAAAGATGCGTGCATGTTGCTTTTCAGGAGTCTGGCTTATATCTGATCAACAGTCAGTGGATCTCAAACTTTCATTACAGACATTACAGAAGAAACAGAATTTCAGGCCACTTGCAAAAGTGAATTTGTTTTCTATTATGTGATTACAACAATTCAAATAAGATTCTTGGAATCCAAATAATTTTCCTAAATAAGGGCTTCAGTGAATTGCTATAGATTTTTCTTTCCTGGTGCAGAATGTAAGAGAGAGGGATCAATGAGGAAGGATTTGTTTTACCTTTATGTCTCAGTGACGGTAACATCAACAAAAATAAAGTGTAAGTTGTGATATTTAAGGTAATGTTAAATAGATGTAGAAACTGTGATGAATTGTGCATGGTTGTGATGTAAACGTAGATCACATACTATGATCATATCACTTGATTGACAACCACGTTGTACTATACTGTCCCAAACTCCTTACAGTTCCAGAGTATTTATAGATTGAGAAAACTTTGTGTGCCACAAAATACACAATTGCCAGCTCCTCAGGAATGTATCTGGTACCAGTAGCAGTGAAGTTTCACAAGGCCCAGAAATGGCAGTCTCATAGCTCATTGCTACCAAAAAGAGCTACCCTCTAAGTTCTGTTCAGTGCTCACGTCTCAGCAGTGTAGACTTTTACCTCTCCCTTGTGTCAGCCCTGACACTTGGTCAGCCAATAAGCAGGGTGGGGAAAAATAATAATAATTAAAAATAAAAGTCATTTGTGCTCTTCTTGCTGTTTTAGCAGCCTATTTTTCACAGTTTTGAGCTAATCAACAGTTGAGAGAAATGCTAACCTGATTAAATGGAAGAGGTAGAACTGTGTGAGCACCAGAAAGTTTAGATATTAGAAAAAAAGGAAGCAAGACTCCCCCTCCTTTTAGAACCTAATCCTGAGATTTCCATGAACAGTGAGTAGTATATAAAACTACACAACCTTCATTTTATGCACCTCAGGGGCTGCTAGCTATTCTGGCTTAGGAAAGGTCTCACTTTCAAAGGTCTTGATTGTATTTTCATCCTTAGGAAAAAAACAAAAACAAAACCAAAAACCTTTCTGCTCCCCTCTAAAAATAACAAGCTTGTGGTAAATATGGACTAACCCCAACTGTAGTCGGACTGAAGCCAACAGGGCATAATTGCTGTTAGGGACAGAGAAGTATAAGAATTGGGTTTTCATTCATGTACACGCACACATATCCCCACCTCCCTCAGCCCCCAAATAAATAAATAAATACCTATCCTTAGATACTTAAAATGCCATGTTGCTGTGTGTGACATTCAAGGTTTACTGTGTCCTTGTCCAAGGTGCTCCTTCTCTATTCACATTCACATTCCTCTTTCACAATGATTACTTGCTTCCTGCCTTCCAAAGAAAATATTTTTACAGCACTGCTTTATGTATGTACTTTCTAGAATACTTTCTGATCCTTCTGAATTAAGTGTAAATTGCTCTGCTGATACTGAACAATTGATGGCATGGAAACAAAAAAAAAAAAAGCTGAAGACCAGCACTTCTTGCTTATTACATATCCCTCTTGCCATTTTGTTTGATTATTTTTCTGCATCTTTCCTTTATCCTGTTTGTCATACAGAGGAGGTTGGTTGAGGTATCAGGTTCAGTTCTGACAGTAATTACAAAATTGATTATACTGGCTAAATTAAAGACAAACTGCTAATAAAATGTTCCTGTAGTCAGGGGCAGAACCATTTGACCTTGTAGACATGCATTGCAGGAAACAAAACTCCATACCTTCAATACAATTAAATGAAGGATATAGTAGGTGAATGTGGTCCAAAGTGGTCCAAAAATACTCATTTTAATATGTCATTTCACATTGTCAATAGAGAACTGTATTTGCCAAAATGTTACTGAAATTTCACTTTTTTTCCTACATTCCTGTATGAGGTGATTCATGCAATGATCAGACTGGCACTCAACTGAAGAGATGTATTAATTCGACAATAAGTTCAAATGTATTCTTGCAGAGATAAGTTACTACATAAGATTACTTTATATGATGCTAACAGAAAAAGATGACTTGCATGCAGTAAATAATTAAGATATTGCACTTTTATACATTTATTATAAAGAAGAATCACTCTCTCCCTGAAAATAAAATTCCATTTATCTCAAGATGAAGTATCTGGAGTCTCTTAAAAACTGTCAGTTAAATGTGCACACAAGTTTGTTTATTGTCTAACAGAGATTATTCTGTTGTCATATACTGTAGAATATCTATTTTATTCTGAGTGCTGCTTTTGTAAAGTCAGAGCAACATTGTGTATCGACATCTTGATTTCCACCTTTCTCAGGGGAATATGGAAGGTAAACTTTCACAGCTATTTAGAAGACTTGATTTATTCTATGTTAAGAAACAGACTGCAGTGTAAAATCTGTGATTTAAGGTTTTTCTTAAAATACTTTAGAACTTCAGTGCTTTATCTGACCTTACCTAAGTTAAGCAGCCTGAGTGCAATTGTAAGGCAAAAGGACAGATAACTTAATCGCATTGGATACTGCCCTTGCCTAATAACCTTTAATTTTAATGTATCAGTAATATCACTATAGTTTAGCTGATTGAACTACTCTTTTTTGAAATACAGCAGGCTACTTTGACAGATACTAAGACAAAAAGAAAAATAATAAGAAATTAGTTTTCCTTATGTACATAATCATAGTATTCAGATTCTTGACCAGAAGCATTCAAATGGTATTACGACTAATACTGGTAAAAGCAAGGTAATTGATTTTCCATTTTACTTAATAGGGTGTAGACGTTTTTCACACCTCTTTGAGGAAAGTATAGAAAAATGGCACAAGTGGTTATGTATCATGCAGTTGTCTTTAACATTCTTGTCTTATTTCTCAGGCACACAAATCCAAAAGTAGTGTACATAAAGAGATATTTCCTGCTTACTCTGGTGTTCAGCAGTTCAGTAATAGTTAAAATTGCAGAATATTCTAAGTGACCCCTTGAAAGTGCAACAGAGGGGAGTAGTTCAATGCTGAGAGGCATAGAAGGCTGATCTTGCATCACAAATCAAGCAAGTGGAACTGGTTTCCCTAGATGATCTGCAAAATAAGTATTACTCAATTACTTTCTGTCTTAGCATTAGAAAGCTGTGGTTGGAGTGTAGTAGAATATCTTCTTAATTCTTTGTTCAGTCATTCTAATGAAAATAGAGTGAGAGAGTTTGTTTTACTCTAGGCTGTAAAAATGGAATGCGAATTCCTTTCCCCAGCTTTCTAGCACATAATGTTTTGATTTGCTGTCATAGAGAGCCACAAGTATATCCTCTGTTTATTCTTCTATTGCACAGCAAGTAAAAATTTCTGGTCTCTGCCACCAGAAATTTAATACAATGGCTTACAAGGTTAGATGCTGCAGACTTCATTTTCTGCAATCTATTCATATTCAATTAGCTTTTGCTTTCAATAATTCTGTGCTCAACCCATTGCAATAATGAAAATGGATTCATTTATCTCCCTGACAATCTTGAGTAAAAATTTCACTTTACAGAGGTGATGAAAAGCAAAGCTACTTCTCAGAGGTTTTTGTTAGAGCAGATCACCTGAAAGTTCCCAGTATTTACTTGCTGGTTCTTTAAGTCAGAAAGGCTGAAGGATTGAATGGCCTGGCTCAAGACTATAAAGGCATTATTAAAAATGCTAGTAATTACTTGAAAATGTCTATGTGGTACAGTGCTATCCTTGTGACTTTTTGTGCCACCTGGGAACCCAGGGTCCCAAAGGCTGGAAATTTTAGCAGGAAGTCTTTGCTTGGGATGTTTCTTCATTCAGAGCCAGAGTAGCTCTGCTACTCTTCTGGTGGAGATACTTTCTTCCTCTTTTTTTTTTTTTCTTTTCTTTTTTTCTGTCTCTACCTCTCATTCTCATTTTCATTTAAAAATAAAAATAATAAAAAAATCCAGGGCAACCAAGAAGGCTACACATGCTACACTCACATTCCAAGCAATAGTTTTTGTTACTCTTGTCTGAGTCAACAGGAGACCAATAGGATTATGGATATATAATATATATATATCCATAATAATATATATATAATATAATAATATTATTATATTATATATAATAATATTATTATATATAATTATATATATATTATATATATATTATATATTATATATATTATAATATTATTAAATAATATATATTATATAATATAATAATATAT